ATATTTGTCACTGAAAAAGTGTTGTGGTGTTTTTTGTATCCACGATAGTCTTCAAATCATCTTTACAAGTAAATAGCCTAGTCTGGTTATGCAAAAATCATCACTAGATGACGAATAGATGAAAAAGTACTCGTATTTTTACCTTGCGTTTTTTTAACAATAATGTATGGTCACAATTTGATTTTTTGTCTATAAGTTTTTTCCCTTATACTTTACATAAACAATATTTATACCATTTTTTTATATCAAGAATACCTTTATTTTCCGTTTTTTAAATTAAAATTGATAAATAATTTAAGGAGATATTTTGCACTAATTTATAAATTTTATTAATTTTTTTATTGACCAAATAAAATGTTACAAAATAAACGTTTGAAAAAGGGATATGTTTTTTTACTTATAAGCAATTATAATAACTTCTATATTTTTCCAGCTACAGACTTGTACGTACAACCATTGGATAGCTGGTAAAAAAACTCACATTAAAAAAACCTTCTATGACCAGTAGGAACGAAGTTAAGGACTATTTTTAAAAAAATCATATCTCCACTATTAAGAAGTAAAATTTGCACAAATATTGAATGAAAATCTAAACTTTGTACTAAAACTTATAGCTATAAAATTCATCCAATTTTTCGAAACTTACAGCCCTTCGAAACGAAGGTACTATCGATAGGAAAGTGGAGGAGATGTTGCAGCTCCGTTTTTTTTTTCGAGATCGCAACTTCAAATTGAAGCACCTAGGAAAAATTTACATTATTTGGGCTTCTATTGCAGTAAGAAGCCTCTTTTTTTTAATCTGGGGTAGCTTTTCGAAATATGAAGAATTACATAGTTTTCACTGGCAGGGAAATATGGGAAACCTCGGAAAAATTGAGTCCATTTGAAATGGTGTAAATAACAGATAAATGGTGTTTTATTAAGTGTTTGTAGCAAAGATTCAAGTATAGCTAAATCAATGATTTATTTCATAAAATCATTCAAGTGCTGTGAAAGTCATTATGGTCGGGGTAAGAGCGTTCGCGGTTACCTTAGCCCTGAGTTATCTATTAAAAAATTGTGGCGTATTTGGAAACAGACTCAAAAAGAACAGAAGAAGTCACTTGCATCTTACTCAAAGTTCTTCAAGATCTTCCAGACGAAATTCAATCTAAGTTTTGGCAGTCCAAAGACAGACGTTTGTCCATTTTGTGATCTAACAAAATGTGAAATAAATTTATGCAAAGACCTTCGAGGAAAAGCTTCCCTTATTACTAAGTACAGATTGCACAAGTTACGAGCTAAGACATTTTATGAACTGCTTAAAAGAACAGAAGCTAATGTAGTTAAGGTATTTTTTGACATGGAAGAAAACCAGCCTTTTCCAAAACCAAGAGTTGGTGAGGTATTTTATTCTCGACAAATTTGGGTTTATAACCTTACTTTTGTATTGATGGATGATACTCAAAATTCTACTAATACTTTTGTGAACACATGGACTGGAACCAGAGTGGGCGAGGCTCCAATGAAGTAGTTTCAATTCTGTATAACTTTTTGGGGCTTCTGGAAGATAAGTTTAAAAATGTTCCAGCGAACTCATTGACACTTCAACTGTTTTCTGATGCTTCTTCTTTCTTTCTTCTTCGTCTAGCCATTCACGTCCACATCTGAACATAAGCCTCTTCAAGTCATCCTTTCCATTGTTTTTTATTGTACGCTTTTTGTAGCCAATTTTTCCCGGCAGTCCTTTTCAGATCATCTGTCCATCTCATAGGAGGCCTGCCTCTGGGTCTTTTGTGTTGGTATGGTCTTCAGGTTAAAATTGATCTGTGCCATTTGTTTAGATCGCTCCTAGCTACATGTCCAGCGTATTCCCATTTCAACTTTAATGATTTTTGCACCACATCGGTGACTTTGGTTTTCTGTCTTATCCATGTGTTTGTTTTCTTGTCCTTAAGTGATATACCTAGCATTGCTCTTTCCATCGCGTGTTGAGTGACTCTAAGTATATTCATATTCTTTTTTGTGATTGTCCATGTTTGTGCCGCATAAGTTAATATCGGAATAATGCATGCATCAAAAACTTTAGATCTAAGATGTAATTGAATTTGTTGATTTCTGAGTATATAGTTCAGTTTACCGAATGCTGCCCAAGCTAACTTTCTTCTTCTTTTTATTTCTTCCGTTTGAATTTCCCTATTTAGGATTATTTTTTGTCCTAAGTATATATATTCTTCAACTTTTTCTATAACTTTATCGTTTATTATTGTCACGGTGTCTTCGGAGTGCATGACTTTTGTTTTGTTTAAATTCATTTTCAGTCCTATTTTAGAAGATTCGGTATGTAGTTCTAAAAGCATGTTTTGCATTTCTTGTAGGTCAGTAGCTATCAGGATTATGTCATCTGCAAATCGTAGATTACTGAGGTAGCGGCCATTGATGTTTATTCCCTTATATTTCCAATTTAGGTTTTTAAAAACGTCCTCCAAAACTAAGGTGAACAGTTTGGGTGATAAAGTATCTCCCTGTTTAACTCCCCTCTTTAATGGTACAGGGTTCGTGTGTTCATTTTCATTTAGGTAGTATGTAGCTGTAGCTTGGTTCATAGTTTCTTTTATTAAGTTAATATATCTGCTGTCTATTCTACAATTTTGCATTGCGTTTATTACGGCCGTGTGTTCTATGGTATCGAAAGCTTTTTCGTAGTCTACAAATGCTAGGAAAACTGGAAACTTGTATTCGTTACATTTTTCTATTAATATTTTTGTGGTTAACAGGTGATCGGAAGTTGAGTAGCCTTTTCTAAAACCTGCCTGTTCATATGGTTGGTATTCGTCTAATTTCCTTGTTAGTCGAGTAGTTATGACTTTGGTGAGTATTTTAAACAGGTGTGACAGTAGGCTGATGGGTCTGTAGTTTTCCAATTTTCGACTATCACCTTTCTTGTGTAATAAGATTACTTTAGAGTTGTTCCAGCTCTTAGGGACTTTGCCCTGATGTAAACAACTGTCCACAAGTTTAGTTACAATTGCAATTAGTTCTTTACCTCCTTCTAATATCATATCTGTGGTAATACTATCTTCTCCTGCAGCTTTATTTCTCTTCATGTTTTCCAATGCTGTAGTTACCTCTGAAATTGTTACTTTTGGCATTATTTCTGATCCAACATTTTTTATTAATTTTCGTGCTGGTCTCATCTCATCATCTTGTTGATGTGATCTGTAAAGTTCTGTGTAAAATTCTTCTATTCGTGTCAGTATGTTTTCTCTACTTGTGATTTCATTTTCGTCTTTTCCCATTAATGATATCATCTGACGTCGTCCTAGTGTCGGTCTGAGGCATTTCATACTCTTATTTTTTTTCAATAGTTGTTGTTATTAATTTTTCGTTTTCTTTTCTTTTTTGTTGTCTGATTCCTTTTCTAATCTGCCTATTAAGTTCTCTATATTCGTCGGTTCCCTTTTTGTTAGATTTATTTAAGATCTTCCTTCTTTGTATTTGTTGTAATATTTCTTTGTCTAATTCATTGTATGTTGTTTTTGGTTTTTTCAGTTGCAGAAGGCTTTTATTCACTGTTTCGGTAATAAGGTTATTCAAATCATCAATATCATTGGAGTTTATCTGCTGCATGCTAACTTGATTTAATGCATGCACTATCTTTTTATTCAATTCACTATTTTTGATTTCTTCAGATGTCCATTTGTATCTTTTTTCATGTATTCTTTTTCTTTCTAGTTTTCTTTCTAGTTTTTTTTTCTTTCTAGTTTTTCTGATGCTTGCACTGGACAAAATAAAAATCAAAATGTTTTGGGTTTCTTTCTTAATTATGTGCAGACTTCCAGAGCCTTTAGTGATATTCAGCATTACTTTCCAATCAGGGGACATAGATATCTGCCTCCTGATAGAGTATTTGGACGTTTTGAAAAAGTATTTAGAAGAAAAGAAACAATAGTTGAACCAGAGGAGTACTACAAAGTGTTTGCATCTTCAGCTACAGTTAAAGCTTTAGGAAAAGACTTGGAACTTTTTGATTTCATGGATGAGGCAAAACGAGTTTTATTGAAGAAGCTTCCTTTTTTGATGTGTAAACAACGAGTTTTTTCATTTTCAATTAAAATTAATAGACATTGAAGCTAAAAATACCTCCTATGCTGATTCTAGTACTTTTAAAGTTATAAAAAAAGGATGTACTTTGCTAGGAGTGTACAGTACAGTGAAGTATATGACATTAGTGAATCATGTAACTCAAAAGAAGAAAAAAGATGTGGAAAACCTTCTCAAATTTATTTCATTATCTGAAAGTTCAAAAGACTTTTATAGGACTGCACTTACCAATGTGCAAAATGGTTCTAACGATAATAATACTGTAGGCTATAATGAACTAGAGCCTTTTATTTGAAATATTTTTCAACTTTACTTTTCAAGCTTTGACAAAAATGTGAATAATTGATTTTGATGAATAAAAATTAATTTTTACTATGTCAATGACTTAAGGCCGTTTTGAAAAAAAAAAACAAATGTTTAACTTCTTAAAAGCCATGACTTTGTGTATAAATCTAACTTTCAATTGTCTTGAAACAAGAATTTGAACTTGCAAATTACATGACTGATTCTATTCCAAGGTAATATTTAATTATTATCTTAAACATAGAAAAAATCTTCCCGGAAAATATACTTTTTTTTGACTTAGACCTTTTGGAAGCCACCTCTTCAATTGTCAATAAAAGTTAGGTTATGTATATGTTATATGTCAGTATTTAATCCCAACCCACGTTATTTTATTCCACATACTTCTCTAATTCGTTTTTTTTTCGGCAGTTTTAAATATTATAATATAAAAGTAATATAATAATGTTAAAGAACTCTTTTCCTCGAATTTCGTGGATTATTGAAATCCTTTCTTTGGTAATAAAAAATATTCAAAACTTCGCTTGTCTTTAATAAAGTTAATAATTCATCGACAATGGTAATTTAGAAATAACTGATTTTTATTCGTCTGTATTATATATCGTTACACTTACCGTGATCAAATCTTTTGATATCCTTATCTAAGAAGTAGTACCGGGAATATACCACCGGCAAAATAGGTAACTTGTGAGTTATGGCCATGTGGAACGCGCCCTTTTTGAAAGGGTGAATCTTCCCGTCGTTTCGTCTAGTACCTTCTGGAAATACCCATAGTTTAACCTGAAAAATAACATTTAATATAATCTATTCTCAAAACTCTTCTCATAAGCTGAGTAAATCAAGTTAGAGGTATTATTTGTCATAATAACATGACGCTTTCCTAACAACTCAAGACGGAGAAGTTTGGAGATCAGTGTGGATCGTTTTTAGAGTTGAACCTGTATTTGTGTTAATTAAATACAAACAAAAAATTAACAATAAGAAATCAGAAAAGGGTACAAAGCAGGTATAGTATATGAGGATATATATATACAGGGTGGTGAATCGTCAAACGGACCATAGGAAACATTGTAGAGGACTCAAATATGTATCGAAAACAACTGTTAAAATTATTCTACGACTTAAACGTATTCCAAAATTTTGCTAAAATATAATACATTTTTCTGTGAAAAAATGTGTATTACGTGTTGCGTTTTGTCATAATATTGTTTCTGATATTTGACAATATTTAAATCAATTATATTACATTTATCTATGATTTAAATGGCCAAAATTTTGTGATTTATTGTTAAAAAAAAATTAAGTTGATTAAAAAATGTACTCAGTTGAGAAGAAAAAAGCAATAATAAAAATGTTTTATTCATGTTTTATTATAACATTTGTTATAGTTTTATGTTTAGAAATTATCATATAGGTATTATTATTAGGAATAAAGATCACAGTAACAGTATATTGGAATTCATTGAATTATTGTATAACTTAACATGGAATTAAATTTTAGTGAATTAGAATATCTTACGTTAAATAAAGATCCGGCAGTGGCAGGAAAAGGTTCGCGCTATTGCCTGAATACAACATTATGCGATTTTTCGTCAACTGAGTACATTTCATTATATTGATCGATTTGTAAACAATATAATTTATTGTTCACAAAGTAATAACGTTCATTAGTAGTAGTATTTAGTAAAATTCATTGTTTATAATTTAATCATAAAATAAAAAAATTGACAATTCAAATTGTCAAACATCTGACATAAATATGATAAAACACAAACGTCCTAATATCGCACCTTGAAAACCATATGGCAATATCTGCAATTTTTTCGTGAAATGACCTTTGAATGCAGTCTAATAGAAAAAAAAATCTATTTTTTAATGCTATATAGCAGCATCTACAACGAATTTTAAATTCGGCACCAGAAAGATACGTCCTTATGGCTTTTGTAAAAAATCGATTGTTCTTTTTACACCATCAGGCATTATCTGCAGTTGTTGCTCTATGGTTCTAAAATAGGAACAAAAACTTGGATCTATCTGGCAATATCAGCAGTTAATGGCAAATAAATGCTACATTGCCTGTAACTAGTTTTATCTGTTGTTTTTATGTTGTGGGTAAACAATCGTGTTTAATTTAGTTAAACGTAGAAAGAAACAATTCAAGAGCCATGAATCATAGAAGATTGAATTTTCTACAACCTTGTAAGTTATTTTTTGTGTAATAAATGATATTGGATTACCCATTTGTCGACAGATTGTACTTATAGACAAAAGTACCATAATGTTGTCAGATCACATTTATAAAAGTGTCTACATTTCAGTGACAAAAATCACTAGAATTTCACTAGATTAAAAAATAAATTTCTATAGACTAACATAATAAATGTTATATTTTCGCAATATTTTAAATTCAAGTTAAAGCCCTTAAGTAAATGCCAATATAATATATAACAATAACAATAATTATTATGCAGAAGGAATTATTCCAAACAAACATAAAGAAATTTTTATTTAATAAAATAAAAAACGGGACCAAAGTGCCCACATCATCTATTTGAAACAATTATTATATAATATTAAATAAAATTACATAAAATTTTGCGAAGAAAAATAGTAAAAAAAAGTATTTAATATAAGCTTCTTTAATCCCAAAAAAGACTTCTGCTCGCTATGTGAAAGTTATAAATGTAATGCAAGTGTTAGTAATGCAAGTGTGAAACACTTGCATTACTGCTTTTGACTTACAAGCCGTACTACCGACACCTTCAGGCGATGTCTGCTTATTTTATTATAAAAGGAGATTTTGACTTGACCACAAATGGAGGACACTGCTATCTTTGATTCGAGGGAATTGCTAATCGTGGTCGAGCAAATAACGCCGTGTCTGTTATCATTTCTGAGGAACCATGTCAGAGAACAGGCAATAATATTATATTCGGATAACTACATTGGGCAAAATAAGAATAAGTATATTGTCTGTCTTTATCTCTATGTAGTACAGAAATTAAACATACCTAAAATTACCCACAAATTTTTGATAACGGGTCACTCCCAAAATGAGGGAAAACATGCATTCTTTGATTGAGAAACAAAAAAACAAGTGCTCTAAAAGGAGGACCAATTTATGTGCCTTCGCACAGTAGTTCAAATAGCGAAAAAATCAGGCAAACCTTACAAAATTAATGAAATGTCTACATCAGATACATTCTACTTTAAAAAATTATGTAAGGAAATGGGAAACAATTATAACATTGACGAAGAAGGAGATCAGGTCGTCTGGAATGAGTTTAAGATGATCAAGGTGGAGAAGACACTTAAAGTTTCAGGTTAAGACAAGATACCACGATACAGAGCTCAGAACCAGTAATATAAGCCGAAAACAACGAGGGTTGGTGGCTAATACGGAACTAAGTAAAGCATATTTGCATCCACCAGGAATATCAAATCTAAAACAACAAGATCTGCTCTCACTATGTAAGGCTAATGTTATTCAAGAGTACTACCATAGGTTTTATGCAGATTTCCATGTGAACAATAGAACAGTAAAAACGAAACAAACAGATTACAATATGCATGACTTTAATTAAGTGTTAAAACCAAAAATTTTTAATAAATAAGTACAATCTTAAATAAAAAAACTTTTATTTGATATGAATTTTTACTGCATCATTTTCCAAAATTAATATATTTTTTAAAACCATATGGCCGTATGTGCTAAAATACCTATGTCCTGAAGGAACTTTCACATACTCCTTACTGCATATGAAAATATGCAAAATTAAAGACAATTATGCTAAATACCAGGTTTGTAGCTTAATTTTTGGAATTGCAGTAAATAATATTAACTTAAAAAAAATTGAAACGCTCGTAACTCAACATTATGATTTTTTCAGTTACTGCCCTATGGTTTTCAAGGTGCGATATATATTCTTGCATTACGTGTGGTCTAACTTTTAGGGGTGGCCTGAAAAATGTATTATATTTTTTTAAAATTTTTAAGTACATTTGAGTCGTAGAACGGTTTTAACATTTGTTTTTAATTCAGATTTTAGTCCTCTACAAATAGTTTTTTATGACTTTTGATATAAAATAATTAGGGAAGCAGCAATTCAACAATTAAAAATTTCTCATTGAGTTTCCTATGGTCCGTTTGACGATTCACCACCCGGTATATATATATATATATATATATATATATATATATATATATATATATATATATATTGAGGAGCAGACTTTCATATCGCACTTGTCCATTTTTAACATTTTTCAGGAATTGAGAAAAAAAAATTCAATTATTAATAAAGATAAAATAAAAACACAAAATATGAATAAATTGAATAAATCTACTTTTTTATTATCAATTTATCCTATTTATAATTTTCAATAAGCTTTATTAGTTTTTTCGAAAAGAAATTATTGGTGGACAAAACGCCATTTGATTGTCTTTAAATGACAAAATGTAATTTGATTGTCCCTAAATGATTAAAATAAAAATATGAATTGAAAATTCACTTCTCTTTCATATTGGATCTAACCAAGTTAACTCTGGGTCTAATGCTCATTCTTTGCCTGATAAACTAACTAAATATTTTGTTGTTTTTTCTTAACAGCATGCTTCATTGGCAATGCCGGCAGTTTCTTGACTTTCTAATATTTCAACCGGAGTACCTTGTGGTACTCCGGTTGAAAGCCAACTCCTATCACTAAATTACGTAGCCAGAATTTCAGCAAACAACAGCAACTACTCAACAATACTTTGCAGAACAAATATATCGTCCGATCTTTACAGAAACATTGCAATAAAACTACCATTTCCTGAGCGAATAATACGTATTGGTCTTAATTTAGGACAGTTTAGTCTTATGCCTATTCATGTAAATTTTATGTGGTTCTGTGGTTCTATTCATGTTATTATTTAAAAAATGTAGTTCTATCAATGTCTCTGGACCAATTACATTCAACAACTATTTAATGATGAAAGAGAAGAACTGTCATTAGAAATCACCGAGGATACTGGACCACCAATATTAAGAGAAGAAGTCATCTATGCCATCAAAAACACAAAAGAGGGTAAAGCTACTGGACCAGATGAGGTGCCCATCGAATTATTAAAACTCATCGATGAAGATGTTATTGATGTAATGGATGAACTCTTTAATCTAATATATCAGACTGCCACAATCCCCAGACAATGGCTGTAATCAACCTTTGTAGCAATTCCCAAAAAACCAAGTTCAACAACTTGCTCAGACCACAGAACAATAGCTTTAATGAGTAACACACTTAAAACATTTTTGAAAATAATTCACAGCAGAATTGTTAAAACTCTTGAATATGAGATTAGTGAGACACAATTTGGCTTTAGAAATGGTATGAGTACAGGAGATGCTTTGTTCGGCTTGAATGTGCTGGCTTAGAGATGCATGGACATGAATCAGGATATGTACTTATGTTTTGTAGACTTTGAAAAGGCATTTGATAAAGTTCAACATAAAAAGCTTGTAGATATATTAAAAAGCAAAAATATTGACAGTCGTGATCTGAAAATTATATCTAATTTATATTGGAATCAAACTGCCAAGGTAAGAGTTGACAGCCAGTACACCGAAAATATCAAAATACAGAGAGGAGTCCGCCAGGGTTGCGTGCTGTCCCCACTACTTTTCAATGTCTACAGTGAAGCGGTATTTCAAGAAGCGCTCTTAGACTCATTAGAAGGTATATATATCAATGGAGAAGTTTTGAATAACTTTCGTTTTGCAGACGATACAGTAATAATT